TAAAAATACCAACACAAATTTACGAGAGAATAAAATCCTCCCTACGTCATTAGCCGTAATCCTACTGAGCAAACAATTTTTCTTCCTCAAAAAAAAAACGAAAAAAAAAAAATCCCTAAAAAATCCCCTACAGTCGTGCCAACCGCAAAAACCCCAGTAGATAGCCCAAACAATATCCCCAGCCTTGGGGATATCGTGTCCAGTAGTTGCGGAAAGTAATTAAAAATTGTTTAATGAAAATTTGAAAATATAGCGTCGCGACGCTCTTTTTTTTCCGTGGAAGGTCAGACGCCGTCCTAATTGTTCATGGGGTGAAGGGTGCACGAGAATTTGGGTGTAGGTAATTGAAGGAAGAATTTGGCGGCGGGTGGGTGGAGAGGGTGGGAAGTTCGGCATGAAAAATATAACGTAATGATATAGTTATTAACGCGTCTATCGCAATAGCAATTAGTATTAGCGATCTTGTAATAATTACAGGTTAGGATAGTGCTTTTAAGCTATTTCAAGCTTTTATTAGCCTGCTTGAAATAATCGTTGTAATTCGTATTACGAATTCTATACGGGCATTCGGCAGCTCGTGCGAACCAACTAACGTGATATACTGATATACTGCGTGAATGCACTGTATTTTATTATTTTTTAAATTTAATTTTTGTCTTTATAACGCTGTAAAATAATATAGACGTATTTTCGTTGATCTCAATATTTGCGTCGTGCTTAGGGTATTTTGGTGTGGGAGAGCCCTAAAGGACGTTTGACGTTGATACCTGTAATAATGGCGGGTCGTCTAAAGTCGAAGGGACGCCGAAAGGAGCCATAAGATACGCAGGTTCGTTTTACGGAATATATTATATCTATATATGGATGTACATATTTACTGAAGTTAGACGGGAATGAATGTTAAGAAGCCCTCGATTTCAATTGATTTTTAAATACTGGTAATTTTCAATTTTTTTTTTTTTTGATTATGCCATACCTGTTTCGATGAAATCACTCGTTTGCAGCTAACTTCAACCGGCACGTTTTTCGTGTATAACTCTATGTGTGTATATATATTGTAACGTAATTCTTTTTCGTGACCCGACACCGATAGCAAAACATAGGAGAACGAGCTATCTTCGAGAAGCAACGTACGTTACCTTCGGCCGTCCACCCGTCCTTCGTGCATCCGCAAGCCAGGCGGCCGCCAGCCGATTCTTTTTTCACCGGGAACTGACGAGCCGCTATAAACTGGGAGTTGGGGTGGAACAGGCCCAACTCCACCAAGAACGAGCGCTCTGACGGAACCTATCGGACGAGGCGATAGCTTAACGGATCCTGTCGATTTTTGGGGACGCGTAAAATCAGCAAACGCACCTGGATGCACGAACGGGAGCGGACGGTTACGGAAATGCACGGCCGCTCAGGCTGCTGGGTTTGAGGTAGAGAGGGTCGGAGTAAGAGTCCGGCAAATAGTGCGAGAGACAGAGAGCGACGAACCGAGAACGTATCAGGACGAATCTTAACTCTCTATCGAGATCCCTTCACCAATTAATAAATTGGGAGACTCACCGGAGCTGGTGCAGCTAATCCGTGGGGGTCGAGAACTGCATCCAAAGGACACTCTGGGGAGCACTGCACTACACCCACGGAACACTCACAGGAATTCATAGAATTGCCTGGATACCGCGAGAACAACGCGAGAACTATACGAACCGAGAACTTGCTATACCGTAGCGAAACACGGCAAGAGAAACTATAAACAGATAGCACGGG